GATAAAGCCAGGGCTCTGTGTTACGCTGCAGGGTTTGTTGTAGAGCAGGGAAATGTGCATAAAATCACAACTTCCAATCTGAGAGCTTGAATGTGTTGTGATATGAGGTGTTTGCATGTTTTTGCCTTCAAGACTGTCTGTGTCAAACGTTTCTTGTCCCACTCGGACGGTTAATGCAGCTCAGAGCTGAATTTCTGGTAGTTTTTCCTAAAAATAATCCCAGGTTTATTTTTAGGAAAACTTTTACATTTCTTTAAGGGAAAAGTTGGGCTTTAAATGCTTTGATTGGTTAAAAGTAGGGACTCACCAAGCCACATATTTCACTTCCGATACCTGAAGTTTGGTATCAGCCGATACGATACAGAAATGTTGCTAAACTGACTTAATTTTATTTTATTTTTTAAAAAAATAAACATGGACACACTCACTTACAAATTAATTTGATAACTCAGGACCAGTATATCAGTCTTAAATTCTACGCTAGCTTCAAAAGCTCGATCAACGGTACCGTTTACTGTAAAACAGCAAATGTTTTACTGGCTTTATCATGTTTTTATAAAATAAATAAAAATAAAAAAAAACTTTGTCAAAGGTCTTTGGGATCATAGTTTTTTTTTCTTGATTTTTCACAAATCTAAAACGGGTTTGTGTTTTTTCTAGTGGTTTAGTCTCCCGCTGATAATAAATCTGTTTCAGTGTGTGTCTTCACTTCAAAAATTTTGATTTTGTTCTGGATTCTTTTTTTAATCAACAGGATGATCTATTTTGTTTTTCTTTGCAAAACCACACATTACAATGCAAAAATTTAAAATCTTACCAAGTATTTTAGTCCATTTTCTTATTGAAAATATCTTAACACACTTGAAATAAGACTAACTTTTTCAGCAAGATACAGGAACTTGTTTGAAGTGAATAACTAATTTATATTGATGAAAAAAGTGCTGTTGCCACTGGTAGATTATTTCACTTACAACAAAAGTGGAAAAGTCCAAACTAGAACTTTTTGCATCAATATTAATGATTTATTCACTTGAAACAAGCTCTTGTATCTTGCTGATAAGTTACTGGAGTCGTATTTCAAGTTTGGTAAAATATTCACAGTAAAGCCAGAAACTATAAAACACCTCGTAAGCTTGTGTGTTTTTGCAGTGTAATTGGTTCACTACCATCAAAATTGCTTTCTGTAATAAAAAATACAACAACAAAAAATAGTGGAAAGAGCAGCTCGCTGTTGAGAGCAGACCTGGAAACACGAAACAAAAGGAAAGTATGGAGAATGAAAAGGTCCAATTATTCAGATTATGTTCATCATCCAGAACCTTCCTGGGGTTTTGTTCATTTTTTTGTTTGTTTCCCTCACAAAACGCTCTAAGTTCGCTCTATGTTCTGGTAAAGCAGAGCACACGTTCTAACAGACTTTCCACTCGTTTCCCATGCAGCTGTTATCTAACCGGAGCGCCCGCGCTTTGCCCCATCTCCTCGTCATATTTAGCCTCTTTGGCGCCGCAGAGAGGCAGCGGGCACCGCCACTCTCAACCTCTCATCTCTGAAGAGCTCTCGTGTTTTTCCACAGCAGCGAGAACGCAGCTGCCGCTTCACACCCGATCACCAGGAGGCCTCGCCTGCCTAATGAATAAATTATCCAGGTCAGGGCGGTGGCAGCGTTGGTTTATTTTTCCCAGTTTTGAATTAATCTTCCTCAAGTCGGCCGTAACTCATCGCTCTTCTTCCTTTGGACGTCCTCTCTGATTCCTGAGAGGAATCCATATTGGGTTTCTGAGCTGCTGACCTAGATGAATCTTCCACATGTACGTGAGACAGAAGTCTGAAAGCCCCAGGCTTAGTGGCGGTTAAACGCGCCTAACCTGGGTCACACCATCTTCTGGGTCGCTGGTAAGCGCGTATGCTAGCGGCGCCCCCACAGCCTTTCTGGGCCACAAATGTGAGTGTGATTCATGAAAGTTTGGGGGGGGAAACTGCAAAAATGAGGTCCCTTAACTTTAAGTTGTTTCCCCCAAAGGAGCCCAGGGGCCAACAGAGCAGGGGTCCAGACCCCCACAAACTTGGAAAAGTTTAAAATTAGCCCCCCCTCCAAAAAAAAATCATTGAAGAAACATTTAAATAATATCAATATGAAAAGGCAAAAGAAACAAAGAATGAATTAAGTCTGCTATTTATCTCAGAAAAAATAAGAATTAATTTTTAGGTTTTTAGTGTAGGAGGAGCAACAGCAGCTGAACGGTACAGGTTAGCTGCTAGCTGTTAGCTGCTAGCACAAACTTAAAACCCTCCAGTATGTAAATACTTACAGGAAACGACATGTAAACCTTTTATTTACATTCACAGCTCAATGAGAAGAAACACATGAACAATAAAGATCAGACTGCATTATTGTTGTTTCATTACTTTCATTACTTTGGCTGAATCATGATAAGCCGCCTCATTAGCAAAACCTCTACACTGCTTTCATAGAGTTAAGGTTTTCTTTGTTAAAGGTAGAAAACATTTCATTCATATTTAGCTCTTTAACTTTTAGTTGATTCGAAGAGTTTGAAACGGTAGGGAGGGGCCAAGCGAGTGGGCCCGGCTCAGAGTCTGGGAGCCGAGAATAGATCAAAAAAACTAAAAGTTATGCCTTTATTTCTCTGCATCACCCAGGATATGACAAAACTAAAAAAGGCTTAAAAATAAAGCAACTAAAGTTACAATTTAAAAAGGCCATAACTTGTATTTGGAGCCATTTCAATAAATCAATGTAAATTAGGAATTTTATCAAGAGCAGTTACTCATTAAAGGTTTTTATTTAGAACCTTAAAGTTTTGTAAAAGTGTAGCAGAGATTAGATCAGTCAGACTAAATGAAACTTGTATCTAAGCAACATTTGAATTTTAGTTTTACTTCTCAACAGGTTGCTTACTTAGAAAAACACGTTTAATGTGCATTACTTGTCATTTTTGGCCCTGCAGCTTGAATGTGGTTTAAAAACTTCTTAAATCACATTTCACATTGTGATGTAAAAGTTACTGTAACTTTGCCGAAACCCCCCCTCCTCCAAAATTGGTCTGAAGAAATGTTTCTGTTTTTGCCCCACCCTTGGCTGTGACTGTATTTAAAAATGATCCATACATAATTACTTACCGATATCATTTCTCTCCCTCCTCCGTCTGCTTCTCCTGGTCTGGGTCATCTCTGACAACTTCCAGGTGTGAAACTCTGGGAAACCAGAAAAGGAGGCCAGCGCTCTGAGAGACCCGGCTGGTTTAAAAAAAGAAAGAAATCTTGTTTTTGTTAAAACCCAACAGTGAAGGCTGGAAATGAAGGACTTTAAAGGTGTCCTTTTCCTGTTTAATTCACGTCTTGTAGTAAAACTAGTTGCAGCACTACGTTGAAGGAGACCACACACACGCGCACTCACACACACTCAGATGGATAATACACTCTTAAGCATATTGTATTGGGGTTTGCTACTGTAGTTGCGGCATGTAACTTTTGTAAAAAAAAATTTTTTTTACATTTTTGTCTAAATGGTCACTATGTCTTGACAGCATTGTATGAAACAGAATATCTGCTAGCAGAAAACAAACAGAAAAAAAGGTTTTCTGCCTTTTCTTGGCGCCAACTGAAAACAACCAATCAGAGCCAGGAGGCGGGTCTTAGCGCTGTCAATCATAAGACTATTTAGCACGAGCACTGATGACACCATGTGAATGTTTTTTCAAAAGTGGTCAGTTGGTTTTTGTGCCATTAGCACATTTAGCAGCTCATACAAAAGGATTGATTGACAGCGATAAGACCCTCCCCCTGTTTGGTTTTGGTTGGGAGCGCTGCATTTGTTCAGCAGAGACGAGACGGAGATCAATCTTTGTTCAGATTGTCTGAATATGGTGGTAGTATTAACAAATATGTAAAAAAAAAACTTTTTATCAAACAAAAAAAAATAGTTTTTTGTATGATTAAGCAGCTGGATCAATCATACAGTGTTAATTCCGCACATAAATCAAAATATGTTGCTTTTTCTTTCTTTTTATAATCAGTTTTTATTGTGGAAATCTGAATTCAGTGAAGTTCAGTGGTGGAGTTTACAGGGTTGCTTTGCTTCACAGATAGATACAAAATTTCTCAATGACGACACAGATTTTCTTTTTGACCCTAACCTGCCCTCGCCCTAACCTTTTCTATTTTTCCCTCATATTAAAGGCCCAAGCTGACTGACGTGGCATAATATGTATTAATCATGGCTTAAGTTTCTCTTTCAGTTTAGGTTGGTAATCAAAGCATATTTACAAAGATCCCTGTATATTTTCGAAGTTTACAGAAGTAAGTCATATTTGACGTGACAACTCAGACAAAAAGCAACACGTTTGACATTTGTTCCTGAGTAAACAGCAACTGTAGATATGCTAACGTTCGTCTTAGGATAGGAATAGGTAACATTGAACAAAAACTCATACTATTTTCTCTTAACGTTCAGCAGCTTTGTGCTCATTTCTTTTAAGGGCAGGTTTTCAAACATCCATTACAAAAGCTTTTTGAACACGCACTGAAAACACTGAGAGTCCGTTAGCAATCTGCTGCTGGAGGGTCACAAACAGAGGAGAACGAGGCATTTCTCTTTTCAACCACACTCACAAAAAGCACACACTTTTACACTGGCTTTCCTTTTCTCATTGCGAATGTCATTACCTGATTAATTTGGGAGCAAATAATTTGTTTCCATTGGTGTATTGTTCGCGCAACACAAAGAGGGCGGCACAATTATCCCGATGAAAAACTTTATAATGAAGTGCGTGGAACACGGGGAGAAAGCAGAAAGCTGAGGTCGGGCATAATTAGTTGCATTTTGCCCAAAGGGTGAACAGTGAGGTGTGCAGGAAATGCAAGTGAACATTCTTTTTGCACTTTGGACCTAATCGGAGTTAAATGTTCTACTGTGCAAAGCAGGTGAAACTGGAGATGCTTTTGTGTTGTGTTCTGACTCTGTGTTTGTGCGCTTGCCCCAGTTCTACAGATGTTTCCGAGCCCTGCTGCATTGTGAAGCTCCGCGCAGAGGCTCCAGCATGAAGAGCTCGTCCAAGGCGGCTACCAAAGCTGTGAAGGGGGCGGCGGTGACCGGCCCCCGCCGGACCGACGACTTGTTGTTTATGGTCGCCTCTCTGGGCCAGCCGGCTGCCACCGTACCCCAGCTGGACCCGTCCTGTGAACCGACCATTGACCTCACCAAAGCCCCGTCGTCTTACAACCAACCCGTGGTTGTGGTTTCGCTGATGGCCCACTTTGAAGGCTGACACTTGGCTATTGCTGTGAAAATGTCAAATCCCTGGAAATCGTTAACAATGTTGCAGGGCGGCGGACGTCGTCATCTCTGCCTCGGCCTGCCTGGTGGTAGACTGGTGACTAAGGGAAACCGTGAAATGCCTCTGGACAACGTGAGCAAAAACCCACTGCAGTGAACACACAGAACCTTTTGTTTGTCTGCAGAACACTTGACTTTTTGACTTTTCTTTCAAAGAAACAAACAAAAAAGGAGAATTATCTGGATCATTCAAATGGCCTTACGTGTTTTCAAGCTGAACATTGACTGAGGTATATTTTTCAACCGATTTGTTACCAACAGCACAAGAAGAACCTGGGCAGTTTATGACCCAAAGTATTGTAAAGTTTTGTTACTCAGAGGTAAAGTTTTGACAAAATGCTTGAGCACAAGAAAAATACTGTACAAATTATTTTAGACCTTTAATTTTTTAAAGCTTTCAACTTGCTGCAATTTCACGGAAGGACGTCAACCTGCATCAAACAACCTGGTTATAAATAGAGACTTGCTCTATATGTAGCACTGCTGATGTAGCACGCTAACAACATTAAAGTTCCTCCGGTGCAACATGGCTTTGAGTGCCGTCTGTGCATGGACACTGTTACTAGGCGGAACGGCAGAATGAGGTTTAACTATGACGAGAAGAATCTTAATAGCTTCACGTGGTGATCTGTCCCCAAGCTTGCTTTTTTAAAAATAAATAAATAAGGGAGAGGATTAGCAAAACAATTGATCATACTCTCAAATTGATTGTTTGAAGGAATCATGTGATCCAATCTCAGATAAACAGGAGAGAACTGGAGCCAAAATAAAAGGTAGCCCATTCCAACAAACTATAAAATATTGTACAACACAACACTGACTATTACAAGGATTTTTGTTTTTTTTTTTCTGTCGTTTTGGGCACTGACGGTCTGACAGGACATTCCCCCCAGTGTAGAAGAGAACATAAGTGCAACACTGAGCCTTTATTTCGCCAGCTACTTGTGTGTGAGCTTCTAAGCTTGCAAACTTTACAGATAAATGGGGTATTACTGCAGATCACAGTAATGCTTTTTGAATTCTAATGCATTTGGATCCATAAGATCAGTTGAACAACAGCATAGAAATCACTATTTATCTTCATAATACATACCCTGTGTTAACTGTTAATATTAATAATATTATTTCTACGGTTAACGTAACATTCATCCTGCTTGATGCAACTGAAACAACAAAAAAGTTGTTGGTTTGTGCATGTGTGTTAGATTGACCTCGTAAAGTTACAGAGGATTGAAAGAATGGTTCTGTGCAAAGGTATCAGTCAGGAAAAAGATACAAAACAATGTCTAACGCAGAGCTTTGGTCTTATGTAATATCTTGCATTGTCCACATGTTTAGCCTAAGCAGTAAGCTCTTCTCCTGCACATCTGGATTAAATTACATTCTGGTGACACCAAACGTGAAATCTGGCTATAATAACGTGTTTGAGACGAAAACATCACCAAAAGAACTCAGTGGCTCTACAGGATAACATGGTGGAGGCAGCATTATGCTCTGGGGGTTACGTTTTTAAAAAGTTTCGTTGAACAACGTGGACAAAATTATAAACCGTTTTCACACCTCTGTGCGGTTTCCCGTCCAGAGATTGGATGAACTTTTTAAGATTTTCAAAATGTAAAATAAAAACAATTTTAGAGACATGCTTCTAAGTTGTTTAAAATTTATTATGGTACACTTTATAAAATAATGTAAGATTACAAAAGTTATACTTTGGATAATCTCTTTAAAGTACACTGCACATATTTATAAAAATGCATATTTTAAATGTGTGACAATGTCTACTTATGTTGTACTTCAGATGGCGTTTTCAAGTAGATTTTGTGTATTTTCCTAAACAGTTTTCAATCATTCTTAAAATAATTGTAAGGACTCTTGTGTCATGAGACACGTTCAGTGGTGGACATGATCTTTCCAATGTAGTATGCCTTACTAAGTGCCTTAATTGGTTATGATTTTGTAAAGTAAATAAATAAGCAAAATTCTAATTAGAATTACTGCAAAAATATAGCAGGCTTTACATTTCCTTACCTTTTAATCTCTTTCAATACTGACAAAGGAATAGCAAATAATTTGTTTATGGCTCCTGACGTCACACATTGACGTCCAGACAGCATCTACAGCGACTGTATAACTGATCCTGAAAAACAGAAGCTGTCTTCTCTAAACCGTCCATTTTCAGACATAAACTCTGAGTGAACAGCATCATCTCCAGTACACACTCCGTACCAGTTGGTGGCAGTAATGTGCGCCTTCGTTTTTTTTGAAACCCGCCAAAAAAGTTAAAAAAAAATCAACTCTACCAAAAAATAACTGGATCACCTCCAACAGGGAAACAGAAAAGATTATGCCCTTAAAATTCACTTTTTTTGCTGTGTGCAATTAAACCTTATCAGTAGAGCAGATTATGGTTTTGGTAAATTCAAGAAAATTGCTGCCCAGCTGGATTTAAATAGCAACTAGCTAACAAAGTAGCTACCTTGCTGACTAGATACCCATTGCTAGATAGCTGTAGGCTAACTAGCTGTCTATTTATATCTGTATTTCCCACCACAGCAAATTGTACTATTGTTATTGCAATGAATCTTCTCTGCTTTTATACTTAATATTATCCTAGTCTGTTATTCTCCTCGGTCTGCTGCAGTGAATGTATTTTTTACCTGCACACAATAGAGACTAAAAAAAATTATTTAAAAAATAAATAAATGAGCTCTCAGGTGAGCAGTGGATTCCAGCCTTCATGCTAATGATCTGGTCCTGGATGAGTAACAGACGGCACCATGCTACATGGGAAGATGATGCCTCTTTTACCGAAACACCAGGGCATCGCTCACCGTGGGCTTCATAAGACGATGGGCTGGAAAAAGCGTGCCAGACGGTAAACCTGCTGACGGTCCGTATCGCTGAGCGTTCCCTCAGTGACTGATGGTGTGTTCTTTGGGCCTGGCAATGCAGAAGTGGGACTGCGAGAATATTTATGCATGTGTGTGAAAGAGAGCGCAGGGGAAAGGTGGTGAGCATCGTGTAGGAAGACCCAGAATAGAGAGGGCAGGCTACATTTTGTTTGCACCGCTGGTAAAAATCCCTAATACGAGTTATTCTTTTATCCCGCCAACGTGCTCTGACACTTACATTTTTAAAAAGTCAGCTGTTAATCTGAGTCCACCTTTTCAGTATCAGGATAACAAAATCACAGGGATGATTGTTTTCCACGAGGTGTCGCATGCTAAACGGTTTTTCTGGAACAATAAGTTCTTTCGCCGCCACTAGCACGTTCAGCAGCGCATATAGAAGGTTGATTGGCAGCGCAACGACCCTCCTCCTTGTTCTGATTGGCTGTTTCTGACCAGGAGCGGTTCATTCCTTCAGTAGCTCAGGAAAGAGGTGGAGGAGATCGATCTTTTCACAGATCATCTGTCTCATATTAAACTGCCACAACATGGTGACAGTTTTGACAAATATGTAAAATTTTCGTAAAAGTTACATCCTGTAGCTTTAACGTGTCACCCTGTTAGAGCTTAGAGAGAGGATGCTCTTTGACCCCTTAATAAATGTATGTAAATTACCCATGTGTTGATTTATCGTCTCACTTGTTACTCTAAGTGATAATCTGGTACCAATTTTCTGGTTGAGAATAAAACCATTTTCTTACTAAAATGAACATAAACTGGAAAGGACACATTATAAAACACTTGTAGATCAAAATCACAATCACGTTTCCCAGGATGCTTTACGGAGAAATGGACTCACCTCATCATGGATTCTTCGCCATACTCAGCGGCAAGCATGACACGCGTTTCCTTCCCCTTCGGTTTCACATCAGTCCTGCTGCTTGGTGTTAAAACCCTCAATCCTGGTCTCATCTGAACAAAGCCCAGAGTTTCAGCTAGAAAGTCCCGGTTCAGTTCAGCAATTTTCCCGTTTTAACAAATGAAAAGAATGTTTTATCCTCCAGTTTTGTTTTTGATACCTCAAGGTCTGCGTTGTGTTACGTCTCTGACAGAACAAATTATTCTCCGTAGAAGGAGACTCTGCCTGCAACGAAGTTTTTTAAAAATAAAGGAAGAAAATGGTCTTTAGTAACTACAATGGTTTTCAATTCTTTTTTTATTCCTCTGTTGCTTCTTTGTGAAATGTATTTAAATTTTGTGCACCACAGTGCTCTGGCTTGGCTTCGACTATTGCTGTTAGCTCTTAAAGACATTATGGTTACGCTGTTTGGCGTCTTTCCACTGTAGTTGAAGGTACATCCACTGTGTGAGTTTTCATTGACCCTAAAACCTTCGGGCATGAATGTAGCAATCAAGAAAATGCTCTTCTTTGCTGTAAATTATGGCAAAGATAATATCGAGAAGCATCGCTGCGATGACTTCCTGAAGGCGGAGTTTCAGGAAGTGCAGGAGCTTCTTAAAGAGACAGAGGTCCAATTTCAAGATGTCAAATTACAAACCCGAGTTTCTTTTGTCATAATTGGTTTATACAGCATTTTTATAACACCTGAAGGTAATACACTTACTTGATTGCGCTGTAAAACACATATCACTCATTTAAAATAACGGCCCGATTACGAAATCTCATATGGAATGGCTCCCAACAATTCTGTCACAAACTATAGCTTAAAAATCGCAAACACTCTCAGAAAAAGCTTTTATCCAGCTGCTGGTTGCAGTTGCAGTACTTGGGTCTGAAGCAATATATTGTGTGTAGTCACTAATGTATTGGTCCAATCATAATGTCCACACTTTAGAAAGCATTTGCCTGTTAAGAAGCACCTCTACACTTTTTTAAAAGTCTCTGAATCACAATGAAACTTTATTGACAGTGATATCGAACTATAAAAAAACAAAACAAATAAAAATCACTTTACCTTTTAAATATCTATTTTCTGGGGAATGATTTTGGTTTGTAAACACGATGCATCACTCGGTTGCTTTTTGCATAAAATGTTGGCGAAGCTGCAAATGTGGTGCAACTTCTCGCTGGAAGGTGTAGACTCTGATTTATTGTGCTGACGTTTCAGCACAAACTTGTATATTAATGTGCATAAGTTGATACCAAAGCAGAGAACATTTCAATAATTTTAGAAGGATGTCGAATAAAGCTGTTGTTTTTTTTTTTTTGTTTTTTTTGGGGGGGGGGGGGTTTTGTTAATCTGATGCAGTGGGAAGTTTTTTTTTCCAGTGTTTGGCAGAATTTCTTTAGCGGCTGGAGAATTTGGTGAATTCAGGAATAAAAAGGCTGTAAATGTAACGTGGCTGAGTGGTAATGTGTACTTTCCAAAGTGTTTTGAACAAAGGTGAGCGTTTTCGTTTTAGTGTGACTGATATTCTGACTTTAATACAACAAGATGACATGTCTGAACTTCAGACCTGAATATTCAGAGTCTCAGAAGGTCCTGGAAATATCTGCAGCAGGCGAACAGAACGGCACAAAAATAAATCTGCTTAATAGAAACTTCAATTTTTGGAAAAAAAAAAAATAATAATTTCAATAACATATTTTTTGGGCTAGTATTAGGTGGTTTCTCTGTCATATTGAAACATGGACAATAGCCAGATGTTAATACTGGCTTAAAAGATGACAAAGAAGAAGAAGAAGTCAGGAAGTGGTAGGAAGATGATGGAACCGCGTGTTTATTAATGGCTTATCACATGAACAAACATATTCACATGTGATCTGCTTTCATTGTCTTCAACACGTCGACTCTGACGATGCCTGAGCTGAACAAATACCGATAAGGACGACTTCTTGACATGAAACTTATTTGGACTCCATTTATGCATTTTTTTCCCCCTTAAATTTAGCTGAGAATAAAAATCCCAGTATTTTCCCCGGTCAGCTGGCCTCACATCCAGTTTGTTCCTGTCCGTCACCGCGGTGTTGAGCCGTGACCTGTTGACCCTTCAGGGTGAAGGGGCAGGCAGATTTGTTTTTGTGTTTCTGGGGACAACGGCACAAAAGAATCAGAAGGCCTTTCTGGACTCCATACCTGGTGTTTAGTTATTCTGCTCACTAAAACTGATTTGAAGTCACTTCCAGGCTGCAGCGCTCCTCCAGGGCTCTTCTGCTAATTGTTCCTGTGTAGCGTTTGGGCCCGAGCCTCCCCAGTTTACAATGAAGCCCCTGGTGGAGCGCAGATAAGAGGCACCTCAAGTAATGAAATATGCAAAACACGACATTTTCATTCCAGAGTCATCTTTACGAGACATTTTCTGCTAAATAAACCACCTATGGTCCAGAATGCCACACGGAAATGCAGTTATTTATAAAAATTACTTCACATAGAGTTGTATATATATATATATTTTTTTTTTTAATAATTTTGAACTTTAAGTGCACATTATCCCGCAGTCTCAAAATTTGTTTTTAAACCCTAAAACCCTAAAAGTTTGATCTACGCAACGTTCACAGACGACGACTTAGAGGTCGGAATGAGATTTGACCCTTTCTACATCAACTCTACGACACAAACGGTAACACTGAACTTACAGAGTGACGCAGAATGTAAAGAGTTTCTAGAGTTGATGACTGATTCATTGCTTTTAGAAATCAGTCACGTATGGAGCCCATGTGGGAACACTTAACTGCACTT